GACCAGAGAGCTGGCTTTTTTCTGTGTATTAACAGAACTTTCACAAAATTGTAAACATGAAACATCCCCTAGGCTCACTTTTATAGTCTAATAACTTATACACATTCTCTTATTCGAATGCAGCAACTGTCAGGTGTTGTAATAAGACAAATGTCTAAGAAGCCTCTGGTTTGTTTAGGATTTCCCAGAGGTCTTTGCACAAACATTTGTTATACATTGTCTAATATTACTGCTTTGGGCAATTGTGTTACTGTGCACATTTCCTGCAGCATCAAGTTTCATCCACAGTGTGGTGCTAGAAAACCAGTAATTGATCCTTTTTTTCCTCGTAATCAGTAGAAAGTATTTTGTTTCTAACTGTTCTTTGTAAAATTGACAGAGTTATATAATAAGTTTCCTCAGCCTCTATCAAATCCATCATAAAATTATGATTTTAACTGTGAAATATTTTCAAACCTCCATTATCTCTCAACTAGATGATCAGTGGATCCTCCTGGATTTACCTCTGCTTTGTAAATCTTTTTTTCCCAATCTTTTTTCCCCATACTGTAGTTATAAATATTCTTTTATAAACTCAAATCTGAACTTTACTCTCCTGCCTAACAACTGTTAATGAATTCTTATTGCATTGAATTTATCAACAAAGATAAAGACAGACCCCTTTTGGGATCCAACTCTTGTCCTCTTCTCATTCATCTGCAGCCTCTCTGTGTACAAGTCTCCTTGTTGCTCTGTACTTCAGCCAGTGTGGCCCTCTTTTGGTTGTTTGAACACACATTTTTCTCCTACTTTTGCTTGATTTTATTTTTACCTATAATAAGTAGAGGAGTGTGTGTGTATGTATAGGTACATAATTCTTCTTTAATGATTTTTTATTGATACATAGCAATTGTATATACTTATGGGCTGTATGTAATATTTTGATACATGCATGCAACGTGTAATACATGCATGCAACGTGTAATACATGCATGCAACGTGTAATACATGCATGCAACGTGTAATGAGCCAATCTGGGTATTTAGGTTACTCATCATCCAAACACATACCATTTCTTTGTGTGGGGAACATTTCAAATCTTGTAGCAACTTTGAAATATACAGTATATTGTTGTTAACTACAGTCACCCTACTGTGCTATGAAACACTAGGAAATTGTGTTTATGTTTGTGCCATTAACTATTAACTATTAACTAACCTCTTTACCCTGCCCCCACTGCCTTTCGCAGCTGCTGACCACTGCCATTATATTCTGTACCTCCATATAAGGTCCACTTTTTTAGCTCCCACATGTGAGTGGAGAACATGTGATATTTGTCTTGTTGTGCTTGGCTTATTTCACTTAATATAATGACCTCCAGTTCCATTGATCTTGCTGCAAATGACAGGATTTCATTCCTTTTTATATATGAATAGTATTTCATTATGTATATATGCCATATTTTCTTAATCCATCTGTTGATGACCACTTAGGTTGCTTCTATATCTTGGCTATTGTGAATAGTGCTGTAATAAACATAGGGGTGCAGGTATCCCTTTGATAACACTGACTTTTTCCCCCCTTTAGTTAAATGCCTGGTAGTGGAATAGCTGGATTATATGGTATTTCCATTTGTAATTTTCTGAGGAACCTCTATACTGTTTTCCATAATGGCTGTACTAATTTACATTTCCACCAACAGTGTATGAGTTTCTATTTTTCTGCATCCTTGACAGCATTTGTTATTTTTTTGTCTTTTGATGATAACCATTCTAACTGGGGTAAGATGATATATCTCATTGTGTTTTTGATTTGTCTTTCCCCCAGTGATTAGTGATGCTGAGCATTTTTTTCATGTGCCTGGTAGCCATTTGCATGTCTTCTTTTCAGAAATGTCTATTCAGATTCCTGGCCCACTTTTTAATGGGTTTAATTTGTGTGTGTGTGTGTGTGTGTGTGTGAGTGTGTGTTTTGTTGTTGAGTTATTTGAATTTCTTGTATATTCTGAATACTCCTTGTTAGATGAATAGTTTACAAGTATTTTCTCCCATTCTACAGATTGTCTCTTCACCCTGTTGTTTCTGTTCCTGTGCAAAAGCTTTTTTTGTTTGTTTAATGCAGTTCCGTTTGTCTGTTGCTTGTGCTTTTGAAGTCTTAGCCATAAAATCTTTGCCTAGACCAATGTTCTGAAGTGTTTTCTCTGTGTTTTCTTCAAGTAGTTTTATGATTTTAGGTTTTATATTTACATTTGTAATCCATTTTTAATTTAATTTTTGTATGTGGTTATAGGGATCTAGTTTTATTTTTCTGTGTATAGATATCAAGTTTTATCTGCACCATTTATTGACGAGGATGTCCTTTCCCCAATGTATGTTCTTGGTGCTTTTGTCAAAAAATTTGAGGATTTATTTCTGCAGTCTTTATTCTGTTTCATTGATTCATGTCTGTTTTTATGCCAGTATCATACTGTTTTGATTACTATAGCTTTTTAGTATATTTTGAACTTAGGTAGTGTAATGCCTCCAACTTTGTTCTTTTTGCTCAGTATTGTTTTGACTATTTGCGATTCCACACAAATTTTAAGTTTTTTTTTTTATTCGTGGGAAGACTCCTATTGATATTTTGATAGAGGTTGCATTGAATCTGTGGATTGCTTTGGGTAGTATGGTCATTATTAACAATGTTAATTATTCTGATCCTTGAACATATGATTTCTTTTCATTTGTGACCTCTTCAGTTTCCCTCATCAGTGTTTTGTAGTTTTCTTGTAGAAGTCTTTTACCTCCTTGGTTGAATTTTTTTTTCTCTTAGTTCTCTCTTTTTTGGGGTATATTGACTCAAATTATGGTAAGCTTTCATTAATCTCTCCGAGTAGAACTTTTATTTTATATGTTTTCATGGTACCCAGTAATTTTTCTTTATAACATCACAGTTTAATTATGTAAAATTGATTTTATAGAAATTATATTGAATTTGTGTGATTATTTGACTAATGTCCATTTCCTTACCAGGTCATAAATCCCAAGAAGCTAGATTCTGTATTATTTGCTTATCACTGTATGCTTGATGCCTATTAAAATATTGACTAAATGAATGAATGAATGTAAGTTGCTGAGGATTCAAGGCAAGTATTAGAAGTAGGGACAGGTGAATTTTGGGGGAAAAGAAGAAAACAGTTACAATCAGAATACAGTAAAGTGAATTTTATATTAAGGTATGTACTGGCCAAGTATAATTCACTTACACAGAGGGTGCCAAAAATTTTTTTTAAGAAATTTTAAGAAAGGAAAAAGCTATTAATATTGTAATATTCAATATATACTGATATCAGAAATGAATACAAGTCACATTTGACTTCTGCAATTACAAGACGTGCTCAAAGTGGTTACCACCAGCATCAAGACACTTCTGATTACAGTGAACTACTGCTTGAGTAACAGTGACTGAAGTGTCCAGTTGTATCGCTGTGCATGCCATTTCAATTTCTTCCCTAAGTACCGCCAGTTTTGCTGGTTTTCTACGGTACACCACATCTTTTAAAGTCCCCCATAGGTACACGTCAAGGAGTGTTAAGTGAGGAGAATGTGGGGTAACTCAATTACATTATTCCGTTCAATTTAAACTGTGCTTCATCAGACCAAACCATTTTCCCCACAAACTCCTCATCCTCTCATGCCATGTTTTGGAACCACTAACAGTACTGCAACCTTCAATCAGAGTTGTCTTCATTCCATGCATGTAATAGTCTTGGGATGAAAAATTTTCCATTTTGCTGTTTTAAGAATGCATCGTAGGCTTGTTTTGCTAATTCCTGTCTCACATGCACATTGTTTGGTAGGCTTTTGTGGCAAGTGTGTAAACTGTCCCTACGCCATAGCAGAAGCAGCAAGACTTGTTGCTGTGCTAGGCCTCCCAGATCTTCCCTTATCACACACAGTACCACGAGTCTCAAACATATCACAGATGCATGCAGTTGTTAGGTGTGTCGGAGTCTCAAACGTATCACAGATGCATGCAGTTGTTAGGTGTGTCGGAGGTTCTGTTGTATACTCATGCCTCCAGTGTCATGGTACTTCCACAATGTTCTTGAATTTTAAATATCACTTCAAAATGGTCTTGCGTTACTCAAACAACAATCGTGCTTCTGCCATTTTCTTTGCCTGTCCTGTCTGTCGCATGGTAACCCTAGCATTCATTTGATTAACGCTGTCTTTTGAGCAAACATCATACTACACATTGCTACCATAATTCAATTCAACTTTGGAAAGTAATACGCAGATAGCACCTCTTAAAATGTGTATACATTTTTTTGGCACCCCTGGTGTATTTCCTATTGCAGAACTTAATTCCAGGTCATGGGCATCCCCACGCTGTAAGGGGTTGCATCTACATGGAAGGAAAAGAGGACTGGAAGAAATCATATTTGCCAGATTTAAAATCAGGGGAGCAGCTAATGCTTTAGTGGAGAAAGTTGTGTTCTGTAAGTAGGAGACCTTGTTTCTATTCCAGCTTTGGGAAAAATGTGGTATAACACTATTTGTCTTTACATTTATTTACATAACTATACTGAGAGAATAAAGACAGTCTCTTTATTTCTTAATGTGTATTATAATGAATGAGCTAATTGAGGTAAAAACATTTTTAAAACACTTTATAAACTGGGCTTAATATTTCCCCAGAAGACAGGACATTATTTATTTTTAGAATTTTTCTTTTTTATTCATAAGTAGGAAGTGCTTTAAGGAAAAGAGCCATGGCATAAAAAGCCCTATCTCCTGTGGCTACTATATTCTAAGTTTTGTAAGGGCATGATCATGTCAGTTTTATTTACTGTTTATCCTCTGCACACAATGCTCAGTAGGTACCCAGAAGTTATTTTTGAATGAATGATACAGTGAATTGACCTGAAGGCGTTTGTTATTGGCATTCTGTTCTTTTCATTGCCTTGTAGGCATGCTTACAGAGAGGAATGATCTGAGATATAACTTATGATGTTGATGTTTATTTTTCTTGTATTTCAGCTGTGGCAGAAGTAAAACTTCGAGATGATCAATACACACTGGAACACATGCATGCTTTTGGAATGTATAATTACCTGCACTGTGATTCATGGTATCAAGACAGTGTCTATTACATTGATAACCTTGGAAGAATTATGAATTTAACAGTGATGCTGGTAAGAAGATCATATATAATATTATAATATTCCAGTAAATTTAATCATTACTTTTCCTTTTGAATCTGATATTCATAAAATTGAGGTATACATACCTTTAGTATATGAAATCCTATCTATGTAATACTTCATTTCTGCTTAATTCAATTTTAATTTTCCCTTTGTTCCTGTTAACTACATTTATTCACTTCCACTCTATTAGGCAACTACTCTAATACATTTTATATATTAATATTATATTAACTATTCATGTCTGCTTTTTCTGTGAGTTATTATTACTGACTGTAATAGTGGATTTGTCTTTTTTTTTTTTTTTTTAGTGCAGAAGCCATTTAATGAAACGAACCATAAACTGTCTATTTTTTAAGTTAACTTTTTTCTTTATGTATTTTTAATTATGCCTAATGGTACAAACATTTAGGATTGTTTTGTCTGCAAATAATTTATTCTTTTAGCATTATATAATGTTCGTCTTTATCTCTAGGTTGTGAGAATAATTTTTGTCTTAAAAACTTCTTTGTCTGATATTAATATAGTTATTTCTGACTTTCTGAAAATTAGTTTATAATTTTTTTAATCCTTTTTCTTTCAGTTTAAAGTGTATCTCGTATAAAGAGCATATGATTGGATCTTGTTTTTGTTCAGTATGATAGTCTGTGTCTTATAGTTGGAGGCCTTAGTACATTGATACTTAATCTAGTGCCTGATATTCTTGGGTTTATGGTACCATCTTGCTATTTTGATTTGTCCCATCTGTTTTTTGTTCCTTGGTGTCTTTGTTCCTGCCTTTTTTGGAGGATTAGTCAAAGTTTTTCTTTTTAAAAATTTTTTCTTAAAATTCCATTTAATTTTTTCTTTTGGCTTTTTGTTTAAACCTGTTTGTGTTTTTCTTTTTAATGGTTAATAAGTTATTTTTTCCCTTGACTCTTACCATAGTCTGCCTCTACTTAATATTATTTTAGTTAAGAAACAATGTAAAAACATTAATAATATAGTTCCTTATTCTTACTCTCTCACTCTTTGAACTAATTTTATCGTATATTTTACTTCTTCATATGTTGTAAACTCCACAATACACTTTTGTGTATTAATAAATTTGCTTCAAACAGCCAATAGTCTGCCAATAGCTTCCTAACTACTCTGTGTTTCTTGCAGCCTTTCTGTACATTGCATCTACAGAGGAGGCTATTTGATTTTCTTGTTTAGTATTATCACTTGCTAAAATTCATTTAATATTTTCTTTATGACAAAATTAAAGTAATATTTTTATTACTTTAAAATATGTAATTTTAGAATAGACAATGTGTTCATGTGATTTTAAAAAACAAAAAAAATTATAAAAGGTATTTAGTGAAGTCTCCCTGATTGCATCTTTTGTCTGCTCTGTCTTCAGTACCCATTTCCCCTGCAACTTCTTTCTTATTTTCATGTGTGCCCTTCCAGAGACAACAGGTTTTTTGTTGTTGTTGTTCTTGTTTTCTGTAAGTATAAACACAAAATTATATATATTCTTAAAAGACAAGCTTTTTATCTTGGCATACACAGTTTAGATGCCAAATTATCTCCAACTTTGTCTTCTACCACCTTGTATACTATAGGAAGATCCTATTAATGCTCGATGGCTCAGCCTGTAATCCCGCGCTTTGGGAGGCTGAGGTGAGTGGATTGCCTGAGCCTGCGGGTTCAAGACCTGCCTGGGCAACTTGGCGAGACCTCATGTCTACAATAAAAAATCAAAAAAATTAGCTGGGTGTGGTAGCACGCGCCTGTAGTTCCAGCTACTTGGAAGGCTGAGGCAGAAGGATCGCCGGAGCCCAGCAGGTCGAGGCTGTGGTGGCCGAGAGCGTGCCACTGCACTCCAGTCTGGGCGACAGGGTGAGACTCCAACTCAAAAAAAAAAAAAAGAATGCAAAGTCAACTCCCAACAACAGTAATGAGCTTTAAACAGCTGTTATCCATTCAACAAACATACTGACTAGCAATACTAAACTCTTGTAGTCCTTAGGAAGCCCCTATATCCTGTTTCCTCTGTGCTTTTTCCCATGTGATTATCTTTACCTGGAACATAGTGTTAGTTCTGTGTCAGACTGCTTCCCAGTCTTAACATAAGTCCTAGTTAACCATTTCTTCATCGAAGAAGCGTACCCTAATAGCCTCCCTTTCGTCCCCCTGGCATATTACACCATTGGCTCTCAGATCTGCATGAACTATGAACTCTCTAGTCTGGGATTGACAGAGTTTTTCTGTCCACAGCCAGATATTTTAGGCTTTGTGAGCCAGATAATAGTGGACCTTATCACTATTACTCATTTTTCCTGTTGTAGTGTGAAATTAGCCATGGACAGTTCAAAAATGTTTGTGTTTACATTACAATAAAACTTTATTTATAAAAGCATACAATGGGCAGGAAGTGACTTGTGGACTGTAGTTTGTCAACCCCTGACTAGGCCATGGTTCTAGCACCCAGCAGAAGACTTGATCAGTATGTTTGTTGAATGGATAATAGCTGTTTAAAGGTCATTATTACTGTTGGGAATTGACTGCATTCTTTTGTTGTTATTGTTGTTGAGTTGGAGTCTCACTCTGTCGCTCAGACTGGAGTGCAGTGGCCGCTCCTGGCCACCG